AAGATGATTAGCTATAAACACGTTCCAATCCAAGGTAAATTGTAGTAATCTAATCAGAACCCAATACAATAGACTCAACTACATAACAGCTCAGAGTGCTTAAGGATGTCCCATTATAAGTTGGACAAGTAGTAAAGATTTCAGCGATACAAAGCAGTCTAGTTAAATAAGTAAAATCAGGCTTAAAAACCTGCTCTGCTAGAGCATCGCTAACTACTAATTTTTCTGCACTCGTTTGCTTTTTCTTGGAGATATTATACTACCTATTGAAAGCTTCACTATTGACTTAACTGGTAGAAAAATTGCTCTATAGGTAATTAATACTGTTTTATGCAATTAAAAACTAAGGAAGTTCTGTGCAATATTAGCTTTAAGAGAAAATTGGGGAGGGAGGGGATAGGAAGAAAAAAGCCACAAAAAACCCGAAAACATTTGAGCTACTACTTAAAATGAAATGTAGCGGTCATGTGACCAGAGAACACTTGCTCTGTGGAGCAAATACTTCAGTCACAAGATCCCAGCTGTTTTACCAGCCTGGCCTAGAACACTGCTTAAAATATAAAATTTAGATCATCCTCCCCCCCTCTCCCTTATTATTGACAAGACTTATGCCTGGGCTTGTAACTGCTTTCTCCCCCCCTAAGCTTTTATGGAATACTTCAAATACACAAGTAACTCTAGTACAGTTATATGTGTGTCAACGAAGTGCTCATTAAGAAAGTGATCTGGATTTAACAATATTTAAGCTGCTGAAGCAAGTACAAGCCCAAGGACTGCACAGCTGTGTTTGTTAAACACCTTTTAGAGTGGATTACTTATCTCCAGACTAGATACCACCACAAAGTCAAAACCCACAAGGCTGCTTTCTCTGCTGCTAGGGTAAAAGCTGGTTGGACAATCCAAAGCAAATGTGGTTGTTTTTTTTTCCAGTTGAACTTTTCCTAAGCTTGCAGTGTACCCACTCCCAGAATAATCACATAAAATCCTCAAGTGTTGTATGACGAAAAATGCATTCTGTTCCCAGTACTATATTCTTTTGCTAAGTTATTGTAACTTACTATCAGAACTGTGACCTACAAGAGTCTTGAAAGAAATGTAGTGGTATGAGCAAGTGACTGCACCATCAAACCCGTGCTATACTTAAGATATATCAATGATATCTTCATCATTTGGACTGAAAACCTGCAATCTCTGATTGAGTTCCATCAGAAATTCAACAATCATCACCCCTGCATCAGACTCTCTCTTGAATACTTCAGCACCAATATCTTTTTAAACACGATGATCAGTATCCAGAATGGTAAAATACAAACCATGTTATACAAGAAACCCACAGACCAACATACATATCTGCACAGAACCAGCAATCACCCTAAACACACCAAGAAAGTTGTAATATACAGCCAAGCCCTCCAATACCAGTGAATTTGCACTGAAGAGAACACCCGGGATTGCCACCTCACCAATCTCAAAAAGGCTTTCACTCAGCAAGGACACTTCTCCAGAGAGATAGATCGCATGTTTGAAAGAGCCACCTGGATACCATGTGAAGAATTGCTGCAGTTCAGAAGGAAAGCCCCCACGAATTGCACACCACTGGTTATGACATATCATCCCTCCCTCGAATCTATACGAAAAATCCTCAAACAATTGCAACCCATACTAGAAGGAGACCTAATTGTTAAAGAGATCTTCCCAGTGTCACAACCCAAAGTTGTGATTTTCTTGTTTGTGTGCGCTTCAGCATCGCTAAATTGTGTTCCCGCTAAATTGCAGCTCTTTTGCACGGTGGAGTGTTCTGTTGCAATTAAGAACCCGCGTGCA